CGGCCTGCGCCAGACGATCCTTCGTTTTGGCATGCTCAGCTGCTTCTGCCTCCAACCGGGCCAAGAGCTCCTCGCAATGCTCCTGGCACTTGCCATGCTCCTCCTGCAGATGCCGGAGCTCGTGCCGCATCTCCGCCACCGATGCCTCCTCACCTGTTGCGCGACGTGCGAGCTCTTCGCACCGCTCCTTACACTTGGCACTCTCGCTCTGCGCAGTTTGGAGCTCCGCAGTCTTGCTGGACACGTCTGCCTCCGCCGCGGCCAGGCGATCGCGCAGATCTCGACACTCCTCCTCCTGCGACTTGTGGAGCTCCGCTTCGAGGCGCCGGCGCTCGGAAGTCTCCTCCTCGAGCTTCTGCCGCTTCCGCGCCGTCTCCTGGCTCTCGGCCTCCGCGAGCCGCTCCGCGAGCTCCCGGCAGCGGTCGCGGATGTGGGGATTCTGCAGGTACTCAGCCGCATAACCCTCCTGCTCCGCTGCTGAGCCAAGCGGCTTTCCTCGCAGGAGCCCGGCCTCGGAGAGGCGGCAGCCGTGCCCGCGCCAGTACTTGCCACACTCGGCCGCCCCGTGCCGGTGCAGCGCCTCGCAGAGCTGCTCCAGCCTCGTCTCCTGGCCCGCGAGCTCCGTCGCGAAGCGCTCCCGGCATCGCTGGAGCCAGGCCTCTGCCTCCGCCGGCTGCGAGGCCCACAAATCCACGAGCCGAGTACTCACCGCCTCGCGAGCTCGGTTCGCGCTGGCAAAATCATAAAAAGCCAAATAGAGGAAGGCGTCGATGACGGTCGCCAGGGGCCAGCCGGCCGGGACTTCGGTCAGCTCATAGAGAACTTTTGCTTCGGGCTGCTGGGGCATGGCGGCAAGCGTCGGAAGCTGGGGGAAGGGCAAACGGGGCCTCGGAGCTGACTGCGCGTTCGCACGGGTGCTGCAAACGGCGAAAGAGGAGAAAGCACTTCCACATCCAAGCCCTGGCCTTAGAAACCAAGGCGCCAGTCGCTTGTAAGTTGAACGAAAACCTTTCCAGCGGAGCTCTTCTTCGGCCTTGTGCAAGGCGGCGTTGACAAACTTGGAGAAGCGCGGGCAACAGACCTCGGAGTCGCTTCTCTGAGCGGATTCGGGCGGACGATGCTCCACTCACCCTTTAAAGCCTCCCTGAAACTTCTTGAACCCCTTCCCTCACACAAGCAGTCGGAACTCCCGTGCACATCCATACCCAGCCTACAAAGCAAAGGAAGCTCGCCGGCGGAAGTGATGCGGCTTGCTTTTGCGCAAGGTCTCTTGCTGCTCGTAGTTGAACCCTCTGCGTCAACGACCAGCGCAGTCATTTGTGACCTCTCTGTGGCATCCCTAAAGCCCCGGACCTGAACCGCAGGGCAGCGGCGGATGTCGTGGGCATGAGAGGCCTTGGGAATTCGAGAGATTTCGAGAGCCGGGACCTTGCGATTGGTTGTTAAGATGGGGAGCGAGGGTGGAAGGTGGATAGCTGGATCTCTGGTCGGGTCTTCCATCCTTTCGGCGCTGTGGAGGTGATCTAATGGAGGCGACGCTCTTGATACTCCGTGCTATGCTTGGAAGACCAAGACAAGAGCACATGGATTAGGTTAAGGTATGAAAGAGGCGTAGGCTTTCGCTCTCAGGAGAGAGCGTGAAAGAACCCTAAATCGGACCCCCGGGGCATCCTTCGCAGTTTTCACGTCAAGCATGAACCTGAACCCTACTGTACCTATTGTCTCCATGGTAGTTCCTTTTGGGGGTTACCTTATAGGATCCTATTTATAAAATTGGTTAAACCAAAAAAAGGAACTACAATGGAGACTACAGGTATACCTCAGGTTTTGAGGTGTTAGTTTGGGTTGGGCTGGAGAGGGTGCAGGGCCGGCCTTACAACAGCTTCTCCGATCCGCCTCCGTGCTTCCGAGATCCGAAATCCTGAGCCGAGCACTCCCAGAGCGTCGCCCTTGTCCTGGATGATGCCTCTCGGTTCTGGGAATTTGGAAGTCAGAAGAAGGCTTTTCTCGGAGGCTAACCATGGCACCCCTGCCCTGCCAGCATCTCTCCTTGTTTTCCTGAGCTTCGCTCTCGGTCGTAAAGTGCGCGTGTGTGAAAATGCAAGCTCATTTTCAGGATCGGGAACACATCACGACCTACGGTCGATTGACGTTAATTTCAGGCAAGTCCTTGCGCTGACTGGGCTCTAAGATATTACAGGCGAGGCATCGCAGGAAGACTTTGGGAACCGACTCGTCGGCATTGAGCACGAGTCTGCATATAAAAATCGGCCTTGAGGTCGATAAAGTTGCAAGTCCACAGAGTCCTCCTGCGAGAATCACCGCCGGGATGGAGCCGAAAGCCATTGCATTCAGCCGAAGACCACTAGCGCAAGCCCTGCCATCAGCACAGGGGCCAACTGCGTCTGCATCGTGCTGTCCACCCAGCCACTTCCACCCAAGGCGCCGGTGACGGTGGTTGACTCGGTTGCTGTGTTGCTAGTGCTGGTGAGAGATGTTGCCGTCACCGTGGATGTCATCGTCTTAGACGTTGCAGTCAAGGAAGCTGTTGAGGTGGTCGTTGTGGTTGTGGTCAGGTCTACAAGATCAATGACCACACCATCATCAAGGTAGTCATAGGAGTAGTTGCTGCCAGCTGGAACGACCACGATCTTGTTGTAGGCAAACTGAGGCAAGCTAATGCTGATCTCGTACATATCCTGGGCCATTGCGAGAGAGATGGATTGGCCGGGCTAGGGTAGAACATCATCTGACTGCCATAACTTCTACCGAAACATCAACTCGCTTAAACTGCAAGGTCCGAGTGTCTTGTTCGCAGCAGATGGGGGGAGTACTGCTCTTTGCCACGTGGCCTAGGATAGCTTGATTGAAAGGGATGTGCCCGCAGTCGTCCATGGGGAGGACCACGTAATAGTCGAGCACCGTCTCGTCCACGACTCCGTTCACCATGTTGGGTCCGAACACCACCTTGCCGGCAAAGTCTCCCGTCTTCTCATCGGTATCGACAAACGTGGCTTCACAGACACGGCACTGGATGTAGGGGTCCAGGGCATGGAGCTCTGCTCTCGATGTTTCTGACCCCAGGGCGGGGCAGAACCACGTGTAGGTGCCGGCAGCAATGCACGCGGAGAGATCGCTGCCGCTGCCTGCGTTGAAGGTCACCTCACACGTGGTCCCGACTGGAAGATTGTCACAAGTAGAGCTGCTTGCACGGTTCAACCCACCGAACTCCTCTCCGTCTCCGTCATCCGCGAGAATGAACGTCGAAGCGCAGCGGAAAGGGGTAGTAGAAGTGCTTGCAGTGGTCGTTGAGGTCGCAGTCTCCGATGTCGTAGTAGTGGCGGTTGCGGTCGCTGTGGTCGAGGTCGTGCTCGCTGAGCTGGACGTCGAAGTTGTCCCCGTCGCACTCGACGATGTCGAGGTGGTCTCGGTGGCCGTTGCACTGCTGCTTGTCGAGGTCGTCATCGTCACAGTGGAACTTGATGTGATGGTGACCGTCGCCGATGAAGAAGTGGAAGTGGTTCCCGTAGCTGTCTCGGTCGTGGAAGAAGTCATTGTGGCAGTGGCTGAGGACGTGGTGATTGTTGTCGCTGTTGCCGTGGAGGAGGTTGCCGTTGAGGTTGTAGAGCTCGAGCTGGTTGCCGTAGCTGACGAAGAAGTCGAAGTGGTAGCCGAGACGGTCGATGTCGTACCCGTTGAGGTCGTGGCCGTAGAACTGGTAGTTGACGAGGTTGACATTGTAGCCGACGAGGTGGTCGTGCTGCTGCCCGTCATCGTTGCGGACGTTGATGTCAAACTCGTCATCGTAACAGTCGTGGTCGTCGTAGTACAAATCACATTATCCATCGAAGTAACCAGCATTCCCGGAGTGAAGGTCTGCCCGTCAAGAAATCCCGACCAACACGTCTGAGAAGCTGCTAAATCAACCATTGACAGACACACAAGCATCAAGCATGCTTGCATGCCTTTCACGGCTCGGTTCCACATGGTCATTATCACCTCCAGAGACTTGATTTCGAGCCACGGAGGCTGAGAGGACAAAACCCATGTACACCTCCGAGCAGACATGATGCTTTTACACACTGGCACCGGTGATCTGCGTCTTCGTCATGCGAGTACTGACACCGGCCGACGACCACCGGAGCTGCAGCAATGACAACATGACAGCAATATCGAACTGATCGTAACAGATATGTAACAGTGATAACCGCCGCATCATCAGCATCATCGCCATCTTCATGATCATCCTTACCATCATCATCCTCACCATCCTTACCATCATCGTCATCGTCGTCATCATCATCATCACCATCATCACCACCACCACCATCATCATCATCACCATCATCATCATCGCAACCTCGTTCATCTTCCCATCGCGCGACGTCCGCTCTTCCGGCCTCGAAGACGAGGCGACAGTTGCCAGGCCGAGGCGCGCACCTCGCGAGCCGAGGGCCAGGGCAAAGTCTTTAGGGGTTTAGGGTTTAGAGTGTTTAGAGTTTAGGGTTTAGGGTTTGGGGTTTAGGGTTTAGGGCGTTTAGGGTTTAGGGTGTTTAGGGTGTTTAGGGTGTTTAAGGTTTAGGGTTTAGGGTGTTTAGGGTTTAGGGTGTTTGGGGTTTAGGGTTTAGGGTGTTTCGGGTTTAGGGTGTTTAGGGTTTAGGGTTTAGGGTGTTTAGGGTTAAGTGTTTTTGGGTGTTTAGGGTTTAGGGTGTTTGGGGTTTAGGGTGTTCAGCGTTTGGGGTTTAACAAGGGGCTTCATAGCCTTCTATGGTCTTTGTAGAAGGGACGTCATAGGTCTTTATGGTATTTTATACGGGACATCATAGGTTTCTTCAATAAGTCAGGCTCAATAAGGGGCTTTTCAAGCAATTCTGTGCACACTTGCAGTCACGTGCTGAGAGGCCCTGATGTCTGTAGGCACTGTAGGCCTTTGGATTTGCTTCGTTGCGCGGTTTAACTTAGGGTTTAGGGAAACCCAGTTCAGGCAGAAAGTTAGGCCGTCCCCCTTGTATAGCTCCCGGTCTTCTCATGAATGCTTCAGTCGATCGCCATGGTAGTTGTTGGCCAGCGGAGTAAACGACCCGACCGTGAGCATTTGGGGCCTACGGTTCAAAACTTTACAAGACGCTTAGATCCAAACACACCACCCTGAATGAACCTGAACCCCCCCCCCCCTGCTCTAAACCCTAACCCTCAACTCAAAAAAACCCGAAATCCTAAACCCTAAATCCTAAACCCTGAAACCCTAAACCCTAAACCTTCAACCCTAAACCCTAAACCCTAAACCCTGAAGCCTGAAACCCTAAACCTCATCCCAAGAGCTACGCCGCACAGAAGCCTTGGCGAAATCCTGGACAAGCTGCCAGCACCATGGCTCCCGGAGAAGTGCCCAGCGGGCTACTACCGCCCATGCTAGAACTAAACCAATAATACCAACGCTTGCACCAATAATGCCAAAAATACCCAGACTGCCAAAAATACCAATGATACCAACAATACCAACAATATCAAAAATACCAAAAATACCAAAAAATACCAACAATACCAATAATACCAGTAATACCAATACCACCATAATATTAATCACGTATGCTAAGATTCAGCCCTGCAGTCTACAGCCGGAAGAGTCCCACGAGCTGGTGGAACCTCAATCCCTGAGCTTGTTGGTGTAGGGTTTAGGGTTTAAAATTTAAAAT